AATCAGCCAGTGGGTTCTTTCCTGGAGGCTGACAACGCAGGGAAGGGTTGTCTAAGAGTTCAGCTGGACTGGGAGCTGAGGTGGGAAGGTTTACCTTTAGGAAGGAAGAGAAGTGTGTGTGTGTGTGTGTGTGTGTGTGTCCCAGTTAAGGGGAGGGTGGAAGATATAGACAAGAGGGAGGCCTCTGCAGAGGGAGGGGGACGCTGGGTGCAGGTACCAGAGCTGACCAGATAGGCAGAGATTCAGGCAGGTGCTGACGGAGGCTGAGTGAGCATCTAGCCTCAGGCCTCTAATCTCCCTGTGAAAGGAGTCAGTGGGGGTGTCACCTAAGGAGATCCAGCAGTTAGGGACGGACAAGAGCTACAAGTTCGGGAATGATGTCTGAGGGCAATGGAAATATTGCTGGAGGCAAGGGTATTAGAACCCCACTGGCTTCCAGGGCTAATGTGTGTAGGGGTGGGGTGGGGGGAGTGGTTTGGGTGGGGGCCGGGGCAGAGTCCAGGCATGAAGTTTGGAGATCCCTTGAAGAAACTTCCTTTAGGCTAGGCTGAAGCCTAGGGGTTCCATCCACATGAGTCATGCCCTCCTCTAAGCCCTGCCCCCTCCCGTGAACTTCAGGTGGGACTGGGGTCCAGGGGCCTGGCTATGTCTATGTTAGCCCCTGATTCTGCTGCTCCACTGGCTCCTTGTACACGCCACCCAACTCAGCTCTCACTGGTCAGGTCTTCCAGGCCTTGACAGGAGCAAGGGAGGAAGGGTCATGAGGAGGGAAGTCTCTGGAGGAAGCGGGCATGGCAGAGGGTCTCCAAGGGCAATGCGGGGAGGCCCAGGGAGTGAGGGTGAGGAGCCCGAACCGAGCTCTCAGCCCTCCTCTGAGGTTGAGGCTTCTGGGCAGGAAGTCCCCTCAGGGGCCCTCCCTTGCAGGTGTTTGGCCTTGGCTCCGTGGCTCATATGGTTCTAGGAGAAAGTTTCGGCAGCTTCCTTGGTGTCAACTTGGGTTTTGGCTTCGGAGTCACCATGGGAGTGCACATTGCAGGGAAAATCTCTGGTGAGTGAGCCTGGGCCCTGCCTGACCAGCAAGGCCAGGAATCCCCTGCAGGCTCTCCCTGCCCACCTCCAGCCAGCCCCTTCTCCGAGTCAGCCAGCACTTCACCCTCACTGCCCACTTCGAGGGAGGCTTTCCTAAACCTCTTTTCTCTGACTGCCTTGCCCAGACTCATCATGAGCCCCCTTGCCCCACTATTTTTTACTAGCTGGGTCAACTTAGGCAAGCTATTGAACTTCTCTACCCCTCACTTTCCTTAATGGTGAAACGGAGATGGTAGTCCCTGTCTCGTGGGGTCCTTGTGAGAATTAAATGAGTGCACTCCATAAATGCTTGCCTTATTATTATTGTTGTTGCTCTCGATATTATTATTGTTGTTGGTTTCTGCTCTCACTCTCCTGACCAACTTGCTCTCCTTTGCTCATGCAGGGGCCCACATGAATGCAGCCGTGACCTTCACCAACTGTGCACTAGGCCGCTTGTCCTGGAAGAAGTTTCCTGTGTACGTACTGGGTCAGTTCCTGGGTTCCTTCCTGGCTGCTGCCACCATCTACGGCCTCTTCTACCGTGAGTTTCCTTCCCTGGGTTGTCCGCTTCTGGCCCTAGCCCCCTCCTCTGAAATATGGACAGATCCGACCTCAGTGTCCTGGCCTGTGAAAGTGTCTGGGAGAGAAAGCCTTGGAGGTGCTCCCCACCCTTCCATTCTGCAACCTTATTTCTGAGACTCCAGTGGGGTTGAGCTAGGGGTAGGTTCACCCTCAATCTGTGTCTCCACAGCGGCCATTTTCAACTACTCAAATGGACAGCTGACCGTGACTGGTCCTATAGCCACCGCTAACATTTTTGCCACCTATCTTCCTGACCACATGACATTGTGGAGGGGCTTCCTGAATGAGGTCAGTGGTCTGGGGTGGGTGTCCCTCCTCAGGCCCTCCCCACCTCAGGAAGGGGCCAGCAGGAGCCCCTCACCCTAGAGAGGACAAGAACTCTGGATGGGAACTGTACCAAGACATGTCTCTGCCAGTGTGTTTGGGCTCGGGGCCCCAGGTGGCTGCCATGGTGTCTGCTCCCCAGGTGGTAATTACGGGGATGCTCCAGCTGTGTCTCTTCGCCATCACGGACAAGAGGAATAACCCAGCACTGCAAGGGACACGGGCCGTGGTGATCGGCCTCCTTGTTGTCATCATTGGAGTGTCCCTGGGCATGAACACAGGATATGCTATCAACCCATCCCGGGACCTGCCTCCCCGCTTCTTCACCTTTATTGCTGGCTGGGGCGTAGAGGTCTTCAGGTACTGCCCTGCCCAGCCCACTCCTATGAGTTTTCTGTGGGTTCCCAGCATGTAAAGGGTGGGGGTTACGTGAGGAGCAGCACAGAAGAGTCCTGCAGAGATCCCAGGTGGCCTAGGGAGGCAGGAGTGGGTGCCGACCTTCCCCTAGACCAGCACTGATGCAGAGCCTGCCCCACATCAGTCCCTGTCCCTGAATCAGGGTGAAGCTGACCAGGGCCTCAGGCTCAGGGATGGCTCCTAGGCTAGGATGGGGGTCATTCCTCTACTCTTAGGCCCTCCTCCCTGTCTCGGCCTGAGGGGAATGTAGGTGCTATCTCGGGCATCGCACCCCCCCCCCGGCCACCAGGCTTCTGCCCCCCTCACCAGGCTTCTGCTTCTTGCCTGCAGGGCCCAGAACTGGTGGTGGGTGCCACTAGTGGCACCGCCCCTGGGTGCCTTCTTAGGTGGAATCATCTACTTGGTCTTGGTTGGCTCCACCATCCCGCAGGAGCTCCAGGTATTGGAGAACCCCATGGAGTATGAAGACCGCAAAATACCCAAGACCATGACTCACCAAATCGCAACCTCTTCCCTTACCCGTGTCTGTGTGTCCCCCAACAGACCTTCAGTCCAGCCTGTCCCACCCTTAAATGACTCCATCTGCATGGAGCAATTCTAAGATTATTTGTGACCCCCACCCCCACCCCAATAAAGAAGGCCTTGTCCCACAGTGGCACCCTTACTTCCTGGGTGTCTCCTGTGGTTGGGCTTCTCTCCTGGATTCTTCCAGGAACTCGGGGGTTATGCTGTAGCCCAAGGCTGGATGGAGCATGGAGCCAAGAGGTCTCGGACTCCTTCCAGCCCTGGGAGCTGGGGCTCCCCCTGGAGGAAAATGGGGAAAGGCCAACCTGCGGCTTCAGGAAGAACAGGATGAGATTAAAAGATGCCAGACACAGAACGGTGGACTTTCAGGCATCGTGTAGGAAAGGGATGGTTTTGGGAAAAAGAGAACAGCTAGCTGGTGGTAGTTGGAGGCGGTTCCAAGGATACTTTGAACTGCCCTGGGATAGGATTCGAGACTCTCCCTCAGTTTTGGCCAGTCCTTGGCCCACACAAGACAAGGCCCAAGTGTGTAGATAGTTTCTCAACCTTTTTCCATTATTGCCCCCCTGCCAGAAGTCTTTTAGATATTTTTTCTTAATGATATATTTTAATATCACAGATATACTGTATTATTTCTTTATGTACTTTATGTATATCTGTACTTTATACAAAAATAATAAGATATTTTTTTCACCTCCAAGAATTAATTTTCTCTCCCTTGGGGGCAAAATTACCCCCCACCCTTGAAAGTGCCTGATGTAGATTGAAAGTAGGTAAGAGGTCAGACTTCTCTTCCTCCTTCCGGTGCCAGAGCGCTCCCACATTAAGGAATTCCAGAGTTAGGAAGGAAGATGCCGAGAGGGGAATCCTTCCAAAAGGTGTAGAGACAGGAAACGGCCTTGTGGGGTTCTAGGGGACAGGCCCAGAGATTAGGTGGAGGTGGGGCAGCCAGGATCCACCGACTCTGGGGCCAGGCAGGAATCATTCTGCTTTCTGGAACTCAGAAGGCAGCGTCACCCATGGTTCCTGTCATTGCTTGTGCATTTATCCTTTCAACAATTGTTGAGCACCTCCTGTATGCAGGCCTTGCTTGGGCACTGGCAAAGCTGCAGTGGATGAGGCTGGGTGGTCTTTGATGAGGCCTTTGAGGAGTGTGTTCTAGTGGGGACAGGAGGAAAGAAGTAAGTGGTGAAGATGGGGCTGCACGGAGGCTGTGGGGATCAGAGAGGGCTCACGCCTCAAAGCTGAGGCCAGGGATGACTTCCCAGAGGAGGAGACAGAGCAGAGGAGGGGCCAGGGGTATCCTTTCTGGGGCTGGTTGCTGCACTTTAAGGTTTGAGGGGACAGGGGGCAGAGGAGGCTGGGCTTTCTTCTGGAAGTGCGGACATGATGAGATGCTGTGTGCAGGTTGCTGGAAAAGGGGGAGATTGGGGCCTGCAAGGGAGTGTGGTGAGAGGCAATAATGCAGGAGCAGCAGCAGAGCACCTAATAGGTCAGTGCTGGTGGGTGTGAGAGAAGGGATTCCCTCAATACCTAGGAGGTAAAACCTACAGGACTTGGGCTCAGATTAGATGAAGAAGGTGAGGGCGTGGCAGAAGTCGGGCTGACTTTCAGTTTCTTACTTGGGCCTGAGGCGTTGGAGATGTCCCCACTGAAAGCAGAGCATGGGAGAATTGGTTTGGAGAGGATGATGATAATTTATATCATGGGCATGCTGAGCTTGAGTTGTCTATAGGACCTGAAGGGCAAGAGGTGTGTAGTCTTGGGTGAGTTACTCTTTCTGGACCTCTGTTTTCTCATTTTACAAATGAGTCTAATAATATTACCGACCATTTGTGTTTCTGTGATATTCAATGAAATAAAACATATACAATGCTGAGACTATTGCTTGGCGCAGGGAAAGTGCTCAATAATTATGCCTTTTATAGAGTCTGGAGCTCAGAAGAGAGTTGAAGACGGAGATTGGGGAAGTTGTGGTTGTGTGGATATAGCTAGGGCCGTGGAATAGTGAGAGGAGGATCGGTGAGCAGCATCTTGGGAGCACAGCTGGGAGGTGGCTATGAGGTGAGGAGTGGGCACCTCAAGAGGTTTGGCTGAACAGGGGGCACAAAGTGGATGGTCAGGGGGCACTGGAAACAACCCAAATGTCCATCAACAGGGGAACAGATATTTACATTTCAGTACAGTCACATACAACAGATTTGATACATCAGTGAAAACTAAGGCACAACAGCTACCTGCAACATGGAAAAATCTTGGAGGCATATAAAGCGACTCAGTAGCCTACACAGTATGACACCAGTTATACCATTGACAAGCAAGCAAAAAATGATATATTCTTTGGGTATACACGTGATAAAACTACTTAAAAAAAACAAGAAGGGATGGTTCCTCCAGGGATATGGAGATATAGGGGTGGGAGATGAGATTGGGAGGGACATGGGGGTAGTGCAAACTATAATATTAATAATTTTCTAGTTCTGGAATTGGGGAAAAATGTATGGGTTTGTTATATTGTTGTACTTTGTAACATATAACTGTGACTTAGATGTGTTTGTAGATAACATATATTTAAAAAGATGAAGAAGAAATAGTTATAGCATGAGAACAGGTGGTAGGAATAGTGACAGGTTAGGGCCTGCTGAGATTACAGGGGGTCCAGGGAGAAAGGGGAGAAGCTTGAGTGTGTCTGACATCCCACAGTGGGAGGAGCTAAGCCGGGGAACCAGGCCTGAGCATGACCAGGGAAGGGCCCGCAGCTGGAAGTCCCAGCCAGCTGCCTCCCTCTGGGACTGTGGACAAGCCTCCCTCTTCCCCTCTCTCAGCCTCAGCGGCCCTGGTGTTTCAGAGCCTCAGTCACAGGTGGGAGAGGCACATATGGGTCCTGGGGCTCTGTCCCTCACTGGCTACTTCAGACTTCGGGCATCCTCATGTCCCTGGGAGGAGGCCTGGGAGACAGGGCAGCCAGAGGGTCCATCCAGAACCCCTGCCTACTGTCCACTGCTCTGCCACAAACCTGCACTAGGCTCAGATGGGCCCTGACCCTGGCCACATAGCATTTCTGTGCACAGAGCACAGACCCCGTTCATTCTCTTGGTAGATGGTGGCTGAAAGCCCACAACATGCCAATCACATTCCAGTGCCGAGGGTACAGGCACAAAGAAGATATACAAAAGTCCTTGTTCTTATGGAGCTGACATTCTGTGCAAAACAAAACATGTGGTGTGTTAGTGATACTACATGCTAAGGAGGAAAAGCAGGAAAGGGGGATAGGAAGTGTGTGGGGTGTGGAGACTGAGGCCTCACTGAGGTGACTGAGTAAAGACCTGAAGGGGCTGAGGGAGTGAGCCAGGTGGACACCTGGGGAAGAGCATGCCAGGCTGAGGGAATAGCCAGTGCAAAGGTCCTGGGGTGGGAACATGAGGGGGCCATTGCTGGAATAGAAAGAGGGTGGGGAGACTGGAAGGAAACAAAGTGAGAGAAAGGCGTAGGGTAGATTGAGGCCTAGGTGGGAGGTGAGGCCAAGGCTTGGGGCAGAGGTGAGAGGTGAGGGAGGTCTCTGGAGGAGAGAGGTAGGTCCCATTGTAGGAAGGAAGGAAGCAGGCAGGATGGGGTGGGAAAGGCATCATGGCGCCTTGTGGGTTCTCTCTCTCTCTCTCTCTCTCTCTCTCACACACACACACACACACACACACACACACGCACGCACGCACGCACGCACACGCGCGCACACACGCAGCCCTTCCTGTAACCACTCCCTGGCTGGACCCAGGAGACACATCTGTGCAGCCGTGGGAGGTAGCCTGGGATGTGAGCCATGGGAGCCCTGGCTCCCGTCTCATTCGCTCAGTCCCAGGCCCAGCATGAGCTGGCTGTGTGACCCGCAAAGGACCCTCCCTTCTCTGGGTCTGTTTCCCTGTCTGTACAATGTTTGATCTGTCGATGTCTGGGGAGCCCCCCAGCTCTCACCTCTTCTAGCACATTGAAGCCTCATGTCATAAACCCACTTTCCTACCCACCCCACACCCCGCCCCAGCTAAGGCTGTGGATGGGGACAGGTGGGGCAGGAAGGACTCCCAGCCCCAGGCCAGGTTCCTCCAGGGCTTTGCAGATAAAGGTTGGGTCCTCAGCGTGGTGGTCTTGGCTGTGGGAAGAGCCCCTTACTTCCTGTCCAGACTGTTCTCCCACTCCAACTCAGGGCCTCCGAGGGACAGGCACCCACAGGCAGCACCCTGGTCTGGCTGGTCTTACTGCCTCCTTCCTCAGATGGGGTCCTGCAGCCCTGGGGGAGGTGGGAGTGGCTATATCAGTGCTGGCTGTGGCCGCTCAGAGCCTGTAACCTGGCTTTGGCTCATCTAGCTCTGTGCTGACTCTGGATGGGAACAGGCATGACCCCAGTCCTCCTGTGCACCGCAGGGACCATACTAGGGCACCTAAGAGCCCAGATGGAGGCTAGCCTGCCTGGATCCAGCTCTGCCACTCACTAGCTGTATGACCTTAGGTAAGACGGGATAATTATAGCTCCCACCTCACAGGGCTGCTGGATGACGAAATGGCCTATGCCTGGCATGTAGGGAGTGTGTTTGCTATTGTTATTACTTTACGCCCTCTCGTGGGCCTCATGTCATCACACCCACTTTACATCCAAGGAAACTGAGACCTGGGAGGATAGACTCAGTAAGAGGTAGAGGGCAGGGGTTCCAGTCCTTACCAGTATGACCTCGCCTAGTTTTGTTTGCTTTTTAAATTGTGAAATATATTCTGTAAACATATATATTACATACTTGTTTAGTTAAAATAACAATAAAACACTCAAAAAACAAACCCCACAAATGAACAAAACCCCCAAACACTCAAATGCCCCTCATCAAGCTTTGGGAGGATATTGAACCTCCTAGGCCTGTTTCCTCACCTGTATAGTGGGGATGAAGAGGCTCAGACGAGAGGTGCTTCACGTTTTACCATTAGCATTCCACGGTGATGGACAAGGGCAGGCAGAGTTTGCCAGAGCTCATGGTCTCCCCTTGTGTCTGTGCTCAGGAGCCAAGGGTAGGAGGGCCTGGATAAGTGGGGCCTGGGGCTCAGAGTCTGAGAGAGAACACAGCTCAGAGCCAGGTATACCCAGGCACACAGATGAGGCCAATAAATCTAGGGTTGAGCTTTGAGTCGTCCAGGGACCCGACCACACCCATGCAGGCTGATAAGGATTCCTAAGTCGGGATCACAACAGGCCCCTTAAACAGCCCTGCCAGCGCCAGCAAGAATGTGTTCCTGCCCTCCCCATGCCCCACATTCCCCTACCTGTGTCCTGGCCCCAAGTGAAGGGACATTAGAGAGATGAACTCCTAAGGGATTCCCAGTGCTAGGGCTGGGGAGACTGGATAGGTGGTACACCTATCCAGTTTGGAGGTTGGACATGCTGAATCAGAGGTGTTTGTGGGACATTCAGGGAAAGACATGGGCCTGGGCTAGAGATAGAGCTCTTAAGCCCGGGGTGGCATTTGAAGGCTTACAGATGGATGAGGTGGCTCAGGGATAGATGACGGAGCCCTGTGGAGCACCCATGTTTAAGAGATGGCTAAAGGGAAGGGGGCAGCCAAGAGCTGTGATCGCCCCAGGCCCTGGAGCCTGAATACCCTGGGGCCTTAACTGACTTGTGCCCTTGGGCCTCATAAGGCTCAGATGGGTCAGGGAAAGTAAAGAGAAGCCCTCTCTCTCCTAGGAACACACCAGAGACCCTCACCCCACAGAACTTCCCTGGAAATCTCTGACTCCTGCCTTGTCCTCAGCTCCCTGCTCTCCAGATGATGAAGTGTCCAGGGCACAGTCCTCAGACTTCTCTTTCATACCCTCACCCCCCTTAACAACGTGATCTCACCAGCCTTTAAATACCATTATATGCCAACAGCTCCCCAAATTAGATCTCCAGCCCCCATGTACAACTGCCTACTGGACAGATTTGCATCCCCAAGCCTGCTCTTCCCACACTCTTTCCTTTCTCAGTAAATGGCAAATTCATCTTCCCATTGCTCAGGCCAAAAGCTTTGAAGTCATCCCTGACTCTCCTCTCTCTCACACCCCACATTGCAGCTGTCAGCAAATCCTCTAGGTGTTATCTGCAAAATGTATCTAGAATCCAACCACTTCTCACCACCGTGCATTTGAATCACTGTCTTCTGTCTCTCAGGTTACGGCAGTGGTTTTCTGGGCTCCCAGCCCTCTCCCTTGCTCTAACTCAGCCCTACAGTCTAGTCTCAACACAGTAGCGGGAGTGATCCTTTCAGAAAACGAGCTAGAGCTGATCATTCATTCGTCTGCTCTAAGCCTTCCAATGGTCTCAGAGCCCCTGCTCCTCTCCCTTATTCAGTCCCCCACAGCCTGATGGCTTTGCTGCTCCTTCAAGGTGCCTTTGCCACGGCTGTTCCTTCTGCCTGGAATGTCTTCCTTCCGATATCTGCATGGCTTATGTCCACCCTCCCCACACCCACACCTGCTTATACTGCGTATATCAACAAGCAGAGAGAAACTGTATTTTTAAAAAAGAAATTAAAGGGTGATACATTTAAAAGATATTGGTTATAAAATCTTCTAAAATTTTAAATAAAGAGAGCTTCCCTGAGGCACAGTATAAACATTCCCCCCACCCCATCCCCAGGCTCCTGACTTGTGGATACATACTACCTCCTCGTGGCCGTTGGAGGAAAACCCCTCCATCTTTGGGGGTTGCTGGTCCTCTCTGCACTAGTACACAGTGTAAACTTTCCTCCCGCTTGTCCTGACCTCCTGGGCTATACAGCCCCAAGGACTTCCGGATGGGCTGTGTGAGCTGGTGCTGCTCTGCCCGTGTAGTGGAGAGGACACAGGTTTTGGAGTCATACCTAGTAGGAATTTCTGATCCTCAGTTGTTCACTGAGTGATCTTGGGCCAGTGACCTAACTTCTCTCTCATCCCATGGGTGGAATGGGAATAAGAATACCTACTTCATGGGGCTTTGAAGAGAAAAAAAGATAAGCACAGCGCTTGGCGCATATTAAGTGATCAGAAGAGATCCTTGGGCAAGTGTGGGTACATGAGGACTTCTGCTCCTTCACCCCTGTCAGGCTTGGGGTGGGTGGGGGTGGAGGAAGGGGGGGGTTGACTGAAAGCCCCAGCCCTTGTCAGGGCTGCTTTGCAGCTGCTCTGCTTTTCCCCATAAGTGAGCTACCCTGAGAATGCTGATGCCACATGCCACTGGGAAACTCTCCGACCCGCCAGACTGTGTCTTTCCCACTAAATTCCCAGCAGCTTGGGGCAGTGCACAAACAGAAACTATTACCCACCTGACAGATAGGGACACCAGTACCCAGACACTGGAAGCGAACTGCTCAGGGTGAGAGCTGAGGCAGCCAATTGGGCATCCTAGCAGTTCAGCCGGGTTCTCTGCACCCAGGTCCCAGGAAGCTGTGCAGCTTGAAGCCTGGGGTGAGGGCAGCCTGGGCCGCTGGGAAGGAAGCCCAGGAAATTGTTTGGGGAAGACAGTGAACCTTGTCCTCAGGCCCCTCCTGGCCGAGGGCAGCTCTACGTTGGGAAACCCAAGGCCTGGATTCCAGTCCTGGTTTGGCACACAGTGTGACCTCATGGAGCCTGGTTTCTTCTACCTGGGCTTTTGTAGACTGGGGTTGGAAGGACTTAGAGAATGCCCTGGGGAACTGTGAGCTCTAAAGGGCCACGGGAAAAAAATAAATACAAGTCCACAGGAGATGGTGGGGGACATTTGTGCTGAGGCCATGTGGGGCGTAGAATTTGCCCGGTGAGTGTGGCAGGGCACGTGAAGGAACCGATGAGGCAGGCAGGTCTAAGATGAAGCAGCTCTGGCCTGGCATTCCTTCCCCAATTTTGAAAGAGATGGCACAGCAGCAAGTTCTCCTTAGGGAACAAGGCCTTCAGGCTTTCAGGCATGATGCACGAAGGCTGGCACCACGCGGGAAGGACTCCCCAAACCTAAATGTCAGGACCCACCGTTTTGAGACTGCACCCCTGGCCTCGTGTCTGGCCTGCCTGGGCCCTGTCCAGGACATGATCCAGAGCTACTTCACACAGACCCTGCAATCAGGAGGCCTGCTTTCATCTCCAGTCCTGCACACAACCCTCCACTGCACGCCAGGCTGGCACCACTGTTTCGAGGAGCCAGCTCTGCCAGAGGGAACTCCAGAGATAAGAACATGGTCTCTACAAAGCTCTGGTCCCATAAAGAAACTCCTGCTGGAGTGTGGAGCTGGAGGTGGGAGGGAAAATACAGCTGATTCTCAGGGAGCAAGTGTGGGGTCCTGGTGCCCTCAGGCTCCCTTCATGTACGGGGTGGAGGGGTAGGGGTATCTTTCTCTTTAGCCCACATTCATGCAGTCTTGTTCAAGGCCACTGCTCTTTGGAGAATTCACCAACCCATGAGAAGCAGCTTCCTTTTGCTGAGGGCCTGGGGTTGCTTTGATGATTTGAGGCAGGCTAGCCCTCTGCTTACCCCTGGCATCCTGTCCTACATCCTGGATTTCCTGACTCTCTTCCATCTTTGCAACACCAACTTCCCAACACCCCCATTCTCTCACTTGGATCCCTCTTGCAGCTCTTAGCTGGGCCTCTTACCTCAAAGTTAGTCCTCCAATCCCTGGGCAAACTAAGGTCCACGGCCACATTCAGCCTGCTGCTGTTTTTGTGCAACTCACGAGCTAAGAATGGTTTTCACATTTTTAAATGGTTGGACAAAATAAAAACGTTATTTGGTGACATGTGAAAATTACATGAAATTCTGATTTCAGTGTCTATAAAATAATGAGAACAGAGTACTGCTCTCTCACTTGTGTATTGTCTGTGGCTGCTTTCACACTATAATGGCGGAGTTGGGTGGCTGCAACAGAAACTCTCAGGCTCACAAAGCCCGAAATATTGGGTTGCCGGAAGTCATGACGTATTTTTTTTGTTTTTCGTTGCAAAAATGCGTCATGACTTTCCCGACAGCCCAATATTTACTATTTGGCCCTTTACAGAAAACGTTTGCTGACTCCTGCTCTAGATCATAAATCTGGCCAAGCCACTGTCTGCTTAGGACCCTTCAGGGGCTCCCCATGGCTCTCCATAAGTTGACCCATCTACCTCTCCAGATTCATCACCTGTCCCTCCAGTTGTCTGCCCACTCTAGACAACGATCCCTTTCTCAAACCCACTACAAACCACACCCCGGGCTTGTCTCATGCCCTTTACCTGCACTTGGCATGCCTCTCCTCCCAATGCAGTCTGCCATCTATAGATTCAGCTCAAATGCTTCCTCCTGTTTCCCTTTCCCATCCAAGGGTTCTTCCCCCAAGCACGAGCTAACCCAGTCCTACCTCGACACAAAAAAACTCATATGCCTCTTCAGCTTTCAATAATAGACTCATGACCTATTTGTGCCAGACCACCCAATTCCATTATATATATTCAGGTATGGGTCCCTCACTGGATTACTAGGTAAAGAGCAGGCCACATCTGCCCCCTATATCCCCAGCATAAGGTAGGCACACCAACATTCACTTGAAGAGAACTGCTTAGCAGGCTAACCTTTTACTTAGCTAGTGTTATAGAAAAAGAAGATGCTTATGTATTTTCTAGGTATCAAGTATAATTTTTATAAACTTTTAGCAATTTCATAATTTTTATAAACCTATGATAGATCAGGCACCTCTTCATGTGTTATCTCATTTGATCGTCATAACAACCCTGGTGAGGTAGGTGATACCTTCATTCCACCAAGCAGCAAGTTGTTATGTGGCAGAGCTAGAATCTGAAATCAGGTTTCCTGCCTCCTGCTGATTCGGAGACGCTCTCAAGCTCTCAATGTTCAGTTCACCTACTAAATTCACTGCTCACAAGATGTCACAGATACTTGTGGGCTTCCTATTGTGTGGGGCCATTGATCCTGTGCTAAATGGTCCCAGATAAGGTGGTTTTGTAGTTCTTCATCTCTTCCCTCCAGTCACCTGTTCCCACTGCTGTACCTGATGCCTTCAAGACAGATTGTCTGGGTCAGGACGAAAGAACAGCCCTGTCATTCTGTGAAAATTAAGTGCTGGTTTTGTGATGTCATTTCTCAAATCTCCTTCTGTTGCTCTGGGGCTCGTGACTTGTTCTGGAGGAAAAGCAAGTTGGAAGTCTGGTCACTGTGCTGAAGGGGTGCCAATACGGAGGGCTAAAACTAATGTCACTGTTGATGTACCTGCCTTACAGAAGCCTGAAGAATGCCTCCAGTAGGATAAGCCCTGGACTGTCCTTATACGTTTTTGAATATTCAAACCCAAGTCCAGCACTGAGACAGGGAGAGCCAATATGTCTGCTGCAGGCCTGGGAGAAAGCAACACAGGAAAGATGTCTACCTGAGACTCTCAACCAAAGAGAAGGCGTTGGGGCTACACTGATCATACATAGAGGCTATAGTATGAATCTGGCAGGAGTTTGCTTTTATGTCCTCTGACATTACGGTGGATAGCTAAAGTGAGTCACCAGGCTGGCTCAGTGATGTGGCATGAGGTGCCCTCTGGACTCCAGAAAATGGACTTCTGTAAGGCCACCAGATCCCTCTGCTAGGTCTAGAACTGATGGTACTGAGAACCATAAAAATAAATTCAGCTAGACAGACCTGTGAGAGTTCTTGACAAAAGAGTCAGATCAGATAGTTGGGTTTAACACAACACGTGATTCAGGATATGGTGCAGCAATTCAATGTCTGGTATTTTGGACTGAGAAGTTCACTTGTATCTTTCCAAAGATCATGATCAGTCTGGGTTAAGAAAGCGAGATGCATCTCATGTTGCAGGCATTTTCAGGAGGATGGATAACAGGGACAAGTGAGGCATGAAAAGTGCCATTAAGCTGATTTCAGGCTAAAATTCTGGTTTGTCCGAATCAAGCCCAATGTTCCCCCAACCTTCCAAGCAATCACAGCGAAGGTGTGAGGAGCCTCTACAAAATCATGACCGAATCCCTAGTGACCATGCAGTCAAGGTCTGGCTGCAATGAGTCACTTCATACAGATGGATTAGAGGACAAGGGATTTCTGACACACTCATGCTTTGGATGCATCAGTAAAAGACAGTATGTGAGTCCACCAGGCAGTTGGGAGCAAGCATGATTTATCTGCTGGCAAATGAGTCTCCACCCCACCTAAATCATTCTTTCATCTAAGTGCATCTTGAGCTTCTCAGTCCTGGACATCAAAGTAGTCAATTACCGGCTCCTTGGTTATTTTCTGTAAATTACTGCTCCCAGGATTCCTAAAAAGCAAACAAAGAATGATTCATCTTTTCTTTCTGTGGGAAACAGATTGTCTTCAGGAAGTTAAGGATCAGCTGATTTCCCATTTGTGAAGCTTTGATAAGATAGGGGTCTACATGAGCTAAGAACTGCTGAAATTTGGTGATGGGCACACAGGGGTTCACTATATTAATACTACTCTCTAAAAATTTTCTACAATATAAGTTTATACAAAAATAAAGCAAGCAAAATTGGTAGTCACAAAATAGTCATGGGGATGTGAAATACAATATGGAGAACATAGTGAATAATGTTATAAAAACTATGTACGGTGTCAGGTGGGTATTAGACTTATGGGGGGATCACTTCATAAATTATATAAATGTCTAACCACTGCACTGTACACCTAAAACTAATATAAAATAATACTGAATAGCAACTATAATTAAAAAATATATACATAGTCACAGGATGTGAAGTACAGCACAGGGAATATAGTCAGTGGTATTATAATAGCTATGTACAGTGTCAAATGGGTAGTAGACTTGTTGAGTTAGCACCTTGTGAAGTATGTACATGTCTAATTATTATGTTGTTTTGTACACCTGAAACTAATAAAAAATAAATAAAACAGGGCCGGCCGAGTGGTGCGATGGTTAAGAACTGGCTTGGGATGCCAGAGGGCCCCGGTTCGGATCCCACATGAGGGCCAGTGACACTGCCCTCCACAGCTAAGATGCTGAACAACAGCTCAACCTGGAGCTGGGCTGCCGTGAGTCGCCGGCGACGGCATGGGCTGCAGTCCCTGTGGCAGTGGGTTGCCATGGGCTACCGTGTGTGGCCAGCAGCCAGCGTGAGCGGCCAGCAGCCAGCGTGAGCGGCCAGCAGCCGCAGTGAGCGGCCGTCCAGAAGCCGGCGACTGATCTGCCTCGCCAGAGAAGAGAACGCAATGATGGTGCCAACTTGGGCCAGTGAAGCAACGTCCTCCACAACTAGACTAAAGACCAAAAACGACAGCAACTTGTCTGTTCCCCTTCCCCAATTCCCCAGCGCTGTTCCCATCCCCCCAATTCCCCAATAAAAATCTTAAAAAAAAAAAAAGCAAGCAAAGGAAAAAAAAACCCAGCACGGCATAAACAGGTCAATGACTCCATGTGGTTATGCCTAGGTAGTATTGGACATGGCTGTAGAATAATGTGGAATACCCCACCCATTTCCAAAACCACTGCCCATGGAGACAGGTAATCTGTGCTGATTAAAATCCAGGCCGCCTGCTTCTCAGGGGTGGCTGGGGCTGACACCTGGGGTCTACATGGTCCCAGGTGCTCTTGCTGCAGCTGTGCCCAATGGGCAACACTTAGCTGCCCTATCCACTCGCAGGGGAACACTGACTGCTACGACCCTCTTGGTGAGCTTGTAATCTGCACTACCCACCCTCCGAGAGGTCTTGTGAAGGAGTACTCCAGGGTTTCTGTGTGGAAGGCCAGAACAGGAGTAGGGAATTCTCTGGGTTTCAGAGCAACTTTCAGGCATGTTGCCTCATCACAGAGGGCAGCTGGCTCCCCTCCTGGTGGGGGAAGGGAGAGGAAGGAGAGATGGTGCTCCTTCCCTGCTCCTGTTTGAGAAAACACCTGGCAGACTTGCTGCTGCTTGCCGATGTGGTTTTCTTTTCTCTTTAAATCATGAAGATATGTTTTTGTTGTAAAAATGACTCAAACCACACGGAAGTAGAGCAAAACATGAAAGTCCCCATCTTTACGGCCACCCCACCCCCACCAATCCCACTTTCATCAAACTAAGTTTTGTGAACTGCATGATGTTCCTAAATCATCTGTTGTGACAGGCTGAATCCACTTTTCAGTGTCTCCATCTAAACAATGGAAATTATGTCCAGTGACTGCTCTCCCTGGAGGAAAAGTGGGCATTACAAACAGCAAATTGGGACCCTCTGGCACAACAAATGTATCTGACATCCAGGCAAACCTTACATATTTGAACACGGTACCCCAAGGCCAGGCCCGAGGAGGCTGTCAATGGTGCAGCCCCAGATAGTTCAGCCCTACTGGTTTCTCTGAACAGACAAGGCCCTTTGGAAAGTAGCTGAAGAATCCTTACTTGTCTGTCTGATGTCTGTGATGAGGAATTGGTGGTGGAGGCCGTGACTGCATTTCCTTTTCAAGTATACTTGTCAGCGTGCTAGGAGGACAAACGGACTTCCCTCTGATAAAAGTCAGAAAACAAAGTTTTGAAAAGCAAGAATTGTTTGTGGAGACAGGTAGGCAGCTGGAAATTCAGTCTGTGACTGTGGCACTATGATGTTACTGAGCACTTGCTGACATGACCCGTCTCTGCTCCTGCATGGTCACCTTCATTTAACCTTTGTCCCTTCCACCCACCTCTGCTAGGCCTGTTATCTACTTTTTCTCATCTCACTTGAGCTTTCCTCATTGGGAAGTTTTTGCTATTCCCTCAGGTTCTGACAGTGACCCTAGATCCTCCCGATCCTCTCTCGTTTCATATTACTGCCTCAGTTTCTTCTGAGGGCAAACACTATTTATAGGGAATGCCTCAAGTCCCAGTCTAGCATTCTGTTTCCATCATGCCAGGGCAGAAGGGCAAAAGGGACAGGTGTGATGGGCAGGCACCCAGCCCAGGCCCTCAGGGTCTATTCCCTCTGCCTGAGGAGTGCTGCCTTTAGTGACTGACATGGATCTGGGCAGACATGATGCTTGTAATCTTTAGGTGTGTCTGTCCTGTGGACTGAGGCATGGACTTTGCTCTCTGGTTCGGACCTTTAGATCATCTCAGAATGGCTGCCCCGGAATCAGATTTTTGAACTGCTGTTCCAGGAGAAGTAAAGAAAGCAAATCTTGACAGACCCTGCTCCCCAGGTCCAGTTTGCCCCACTGAGCAGTTCTTCCCGTGATGACAAGGTGAACCCACCTGACTGCAGTGACCGCGACATTGCGCTTCGGTTCACTGTCATAGCTCAAGCTCTCCAGGCCGTACACTTGGGCCAGCTCGTGGATGATCCGGCGGTGGTCTCTGTTCATGGGAGGGAAGAAGTGGCTCTTCTTACTATTCTTTCCCTGTGTTGAGGGAAAAGAGGCTGATTGATAAAAATCATCTTGAATGCAGAATACGCTTACGAGGGCCCTCCCCGCACAGCAGGACACCCTGGGTCAGTACAGAGGTGGCTGAGGTCGAGTGGCCCACGGGTGCAGTGCGTCGCTGACTGCCACGCAGGCCGAGCAGTTTGGGGGAACGGGAGCTGATGCACTTCATCCACTCTGCGAGCCACACAGCAGCGGCTGGCCAGGGTGAGGGACAAAGGAACTGAGACGCACAGACATTGCAATGCTTCCTCCTGAGGGTACCTATAACTGAGGAGTGAGATTCCCAAGAAATGACTAAATAAATTGATGACTTATAAAGCAAGAAAATCTCACTTCCTATAAAAGTATGCTACACACTAAAAATGTGTGCAGATAGACACAAATGCAGAGAAATACATTTGCTCAGGTGTCCTAATTAGGAGAGGAACAATGATTCCATTTCCTCCTTTGTGTTAGTATCCTGCTGGGAGGTGGGAACAGGAGAGGAAGGGAGGGGGCAAGAAAGATGGTGGGAAGTTCATTAGATATGGAGCTAAAGCAGCCATTTTATCCACACTCAGAGTCCCCAAAGAATGAAGAGGGAGCCCCTATGGGGCTGGCTGCTTCTGACTAAAAGACTTTTTTTTGCTTAAAGCTACCTTCCCAACATCCCTTGCTGCCTCCAGGACAGAGGCCTTATTCTCTTGAGACTCCTGAGGGAGGCTATCCCATTACTCTTCAGCTCTAGTCATTCAACCTCTTATCTTTACCCTAGAGTTTCTTTCCTTGTCTTTGGGGTAATAAAGAACCAGTGTGTCCTATTATACAACAGTCCTTCAGAGAGCTGAAGGCCCGGCATATCTTCCTAAGAATCCCATAGTCATTCAACTATCACTATTGAACCACCTTGTCCAGAGTTTCTTTACCCATTCTTAGGCACTGAGCTAGAATTTTTGTTTACATGAGATCTGATTGCAGATATTTTTCCTGAACCAGGACAGGGATTCTATGAATGTTGTCATAGCTGGGCTTTGGAGGAAGGTAAGGATCCTCAAAAGGAAGGTGAGACTTTTTTCTACAACTACCCTATACCAACAGTGTTTCTGGGACTTGATTTTTTTTATCAAGTTGGCCTTGTTAAATATTTTGACTTCAACCTTATTCACAGCTTCCACAAGGGCTTCCATTTCCTTCTCAACGTCATTGACAAACTTTAAGTCCTTCCTGAAACGAGAAATCACCAGTTAACTTCATCGGTTCTGCTCTCTGAGAATCCCTCCTACCCACTCTCTGCCTATGAAGTGCAGACAATGGACAATGTGGGCAGAAAAACTGCAGAGGTCAGGAACTGTCAGATAACAGAATGTGATCGAACAAAGGAAGAGAAAAAGAGAAAACAAGTTTGAGAAAGAGGATAGAAGGAGAAATAGCCATCAGAGGGCCCGGAGACAGGTGGAAAATAAGAGCTGTTACTGCCCAAGCAAGGACCAATGTGACTGAGATCTGGGTAGACAAAGGTGGAAGTCGGCTAGAGATCCTTCAATTTAGGCTAGTCTAGACCTAGGGAAGCCCCAACTCCTACCAAAGGGGACCCACACACACTCAAGTTCAATTCTTAAAGGGGATAGTTTTAAGAAGCCAAGAGAAGGATTTTTATTAAACATCACACAATCTCTTGTAATGGATATATAAACTTTAACTGGCTCAATCACAGAGGAGTACATATTAGTTACTTAAAAAACCAAACACTCTCGTAAGCCACAATTAAGAAAGCAGGATAATAAGTTACATACCTGGCATCTTCTTTCAAACTGTCACTGAATTTTGACACTGAAGAACGTACATTGAAAGGATCAGAATCATCGCTGATACAAAATGCCTCTGCTAACCGCCTGAAAGAAGTATGTAAATAAAAGGAAAGTAAGGGAAGGGAAACTATTGTAGAGTAACAAAGAGTACTCACCATGTCCCAAGTTCTTTACACATTAATCTCATTTCAGTAAACTCAATTATTAAGGAAAGAATAACAACTTGGGACAAGATATGGTATTGTCTTTATAGAAGAAAATAAAGAAGACAGGTTAATGTGCGGACAAGCAAGCCATAGGCTGACACGGGGGACTGGGGTATTTTGGTGAAGAGAAGGCTGGGGGACTGAGAGCACTGGGAATGGTCCATGGGGAATGACATTCTCTGAGGTTCATCTAAACATCAGATACATAAAGTAGATGTATAAATAGTAAAATTAACATTACATGACAGAAAGTCTGGAAAATAAAGAATTCCATTAACAACATAAACACTGCATTTTAATATATTTCCTTTCAGGTTTTTTCCCCTATAATTTTAAGTAGTTGCAATCAGTGTATATAAAACTTTGCGTCTTTTTCTCCTCTATCATTATATGGTTAGCATTTCTCATATTACTATTTGTTTTTCACACATACTGTTTTAATAGCTGCACCATCCTCTAATTATGCATATCCCACAATTTATTTAAACATTTCCCATTTAGGTTTCTTTAACAGTTGCCTAGCTTCTCAGTATTATAAGTGACACAATTAACATTTCTGAGCAAAAAACTTTTAAGATTATTTGTCTGGAAAATGTTCTCAGGTGTGAGATTACTGGGTTAAATAGTATGGACCTCAGACCCGAGATCATCATGGTATAAGAGGTCCCCACGACTGCCCGATTGTGTTTTGCCTGATAGTATGAGTCTCATGGCAACTCACCAACACCCACTTATGTCTTTTTTTTTTTTTAACAGATTTTTATTGGTGAATTGAGAAAAAGGGCAGTTGGGGAATTGGGGAAGAGGAACAGCCAAGTTGTTGTCCTTCAATCTTAGTTGTGGAGGGCGCAGCTAGCTCAGCTCCCAAGTCCAGTTGCCATCTGGCCGCCCGTCGGCAGCTCGGGCTGCTCAACTCAAGGTGCTATATTCAATCTTAGTTGCAGGTGGGTGTAGCCCACCATCCCATGCGGGAGTTGAACTGGCAACCTTGTTGTTAGGAGCATGTGCTCTCACCAGCTGAGCCATCCTGCCACCTGTTGGCAGCTCAGCAGCAGCTCACTGGCCCACGTGGGAATCAAACCGGTGACCCTGTTGCTCAGAGCTTGCATTCTTAACCTACTGAGCCACACGGCCAGCCCTCTTTTGTTTTTTTAAAGATAGATAATTCAGTTTATCTGTATTATATTCAGTACAATTTTCACTTACACTGAGATGGGTCTCTCTCAGGCTTAAAGCCTATAACAATCTAGTTTACTGTTGCTAGATTTTCCAATTTTTCAAGAGAAGCTTAGTTTTCAAGTTTTCAAGAGAATTTCTAGGGGGGAGATCTTTTGATGTCTCAATTAGTCGGCCACAAATTCAAATTTAAATGCCAATAAAATATATCTGTAGGAAAATCTGGCTTGCCGGTTTTTCATTTCTGCAATGAAGTATATATTTGCAACTTCAGATGGAGTTTCCTTTTTTAAATTTGCATTTCTCTTTTTTCTTAGGTCAGCGGGTTTTTAAGAAAGAATCCCTATATGGTGAGAGTCATTACATCATCACTCTAAGATGGAGGAGAAATTCAAAAGGCTTCAGAAAAAGGGCCAGTTCTAATCAATAAATGACATTTAGTGAGCACCTATGTGCTAGGCTTATTCCAAGCTTCATGTGTTTCATCTGTACTTTTAATATATTAATCCTCACAACAACTTTGGGAAGTAGATACTATTATTGTCACCATTACCACAGATTTTTAACAAAATTAAAACTTAGAGAGGATACGTGACATGCCCAAGGTTGCATAGCTAAGTAATTTGTGAAGTGAGGATCCAAATCCAGGCAATCTGACTCCAGAACTCTAGCTCTACGTACTATACAATACTGTCTCTCACCTACACAAAGGTCATTTCCATGCTTTGGAGACCTTTTGTGTCTTCCCTACAGCATTTCTGAATACTCAGGACTCTTAGTTCACATTTTGCGGCTGAGAACACTGTGACTGATGCTTCTTAAAGAGCAAGAGTTTTGAATAGCAGTTATTACAAAGTCACCATAAGGGTCAAATCAAGGGAAATTTGGGCAGTGCTAGTACTCATATTACCTTTTACACATTTAGCCACTTAAAGAGGTACTGTCGACAACTTGGAAGTCCAATTTCAATTAAAACTGGGTTACGTCTGCATTTGTCTGTTTCTGTTTAATTTGTTAGCTTGAAAAAATTTTAAAGACAATTTACAAGAATATTATAATAAACACCTCCATACCCTTCCTCTAAATTCTCTAATTGTTAGCATTTTTATACGGCTATACCTTTTTAAATTTTTAAAATTATTTTTTTATTTTATTTTTTTTAAGCTGAGCCATAGGGCTATACCTTTTAATCAATCTTTGTTGGAACCAGAAAGTTTTCCAGTCATTGAATAAATGCCACTTAATCTAATAGAGTATCCTCAATAACTTACAGCAAATGCCATATTTACTGGTAAATTTTTAAAGTTTTCCCTATGAGACTCGGGATAAGTCAGGAATATCTATTATCACTACCTTCCATTCAACACTGTACTGGAAGTCCTAGCCAGGGCAGTAAGGGAAGGGGAAAAAAAGTTAAGATTTGGAAAGAAATAAAGCTACTATTACTATAATAAAACTACTATTATTAAAACAGGACATGATTGTGTATATGCAAAATCTAAAAGGAGCTATAGATAAACTATTAGAAATAAGTGAATTTAGCAAGGTTGTGAATACAGGTCAACAAACATTAACTGTATTTCTATATACCACCAACAAGCAATTGGAAAATTAAATTTTAAGAGTGATATAAGACAAAGAAGTACCAATTTTAATAGCATATAAAAAACATCAAAGGGCCGGCCGAGTGACGCGTTGGTTAAGAACTGGCTTGGGATGCCAGAGGGCCCCGGTTCGGATCCCACATATGAGGGCCAGTGACACTGCCTTCTACAGCTAAGATGCTAAACAACAGCTCAACCTGGAGCTGGGTTGCTATGAGTCACTGCGGCGTAGGCTGCAGCCCCTGCTGCAGTGGGTTGCCATGGGCTACCGTGTGTAGCCAGCAACCAGTGTGAGCGGCCAGCAGCCGCAGTGAGCGGCCATCCAGAAGCCGGCGACTGATCTGCCTTGCCCGGGAAGAGCGCAATGATGGTGCCAACTTGGGCCAGTGAAGTAACGTCCTCCAAAACTAGAATGAAGAACAAAAGGACAGCAACTTGTCTGTTCCCCTTCCCCCAATTCCCCAGCGCTATTCCCATCCCCGAATTCCCCAGTAAAAAAATCTTAAAAAAAAAAAATCTATATAGAGAAAACTATAAAATATCATTGCAAGAAATCAAAGAAGGCATGAATAAATGTAAGGATATACCTTGTTCATGGAACAGAAGACTCAATATTATAAAAATGTCAAATCTCCCCAAAGTGATCTATAAATTTAACACCAACTCAATCAAAATCCCAGCAGGGTTTTTTTTTGAGGGGGTAGGAGAGGGAGGAAGGGTATAGATCTTAATAGGCTAATTGTAAAATTTAAGTGGAAATGCAAATGGCCAAGAATAGCCAAGATAATCTTAAAGAAACATATTTGAAGAGATACACTATCTGATATTAATTAATATAATTAAGATGGTATGATATACTAGCCTAGTGAATGGAACAGAATGAGCTCAGAAATAAACTATACATAATATGATACTTGATTTAAGACAAAGATACACTACAGAGCACTGAAAAAAGGACATCTTGATAAATGGTACTGGTCAAATGAATATTCATATGGAACAAAATTTGAAATAATGAACCCTCCTTACATCACGTTCAAAAAAAAAAAAATCAGTCCAGGTCAACTGTGATCTAAATGTGAAAGGTAAAATAATACAGCTTCTAGACAATAACACACAATATCATCATGAGCTCAGAGAGACAAATATTTCTTTTTTTGTTTTTGTTTTTAGCTGAGCCATCCTGCCACCTGTTGGCAGCTCAGCAGAAACTCAGCTCGGGCTGGGAATCAAACCGGCGACCCTGTTGCTCAGAGCTTGCACTCTTGAGTGAGATCTTAATCAACTGAGCCACTCGACCAGCCCGACAAATATTTCTTAAACAGGGCATTAAAAGCACTACTCACTAAGGAAAAGACTGTTATACTGCACTACATTAAAATTATAAACTTCTGTTTATCAAAAGACACTATGAGGGCTGGCTGAGTGGTGCATTGGTTAAGAGTTGGCTTGGGACACCAGCTTTGAGCAGCAGGGCCCCGGTTCAGATCCCACATGAGGGCCAGTGACACTACCCTCTACAGCTAAGATGGTGAACAACAGCTTGACCTGGAGCTGGGTTGCCACGAGTTGCCGGCGAAGGCGTAGGCTGCAGTGGGGCTGGCTGGCAGCTGGCAAGCACTTTCATGAGCTGCCGTGAGCCGCCGTCCAATGGCCGGCGAGCGACTGCCTCACCTGAGAAGAGCGCAATGATAATAGCAACATGGGCCAGTGAAGCAATGTCCTCCACAACTAGACTGAAGAACAAAAGGACAGCAACTTGTCTGTTCCCCTCCCCCAATAAAATCTTTTTTTTTTTTTAATTTTTTTATTGAGGAATTGGGGGAGGGGAACAGCGTTGGGGAAATTGGGGGAAGGGGAACAGACAAATTGCTGTCATCTTGTTCCTCAGTCTAGTTGTGGAGGACGTTGCTTCACTGGCCCATGTTGGCATTATCTTTGCGCTCTTCCCAGGTGAGGCAGATCAGTCGCCAGCCTCTGGACGGCCGCTCATGGCGGCTCTTGGCAGCTCACACCAGCTGCCGGCTGCTCACGCTGGCTGCCGGCCACTCACAGTAGCTTATGGCAGCCTACTGCATCAGGGGCTGCAGCCTATGCCGTCGCCAGGGACTCAGGGCAGCCCAACTCCAGGTTGAGCTGTTGTTCACCATCTTAGCTGCAGAGGGCAGTGTCACTGGCCCTTATGTGGGATCCAAACCGGGGTCCTGCTGCTCAGAGTTGGCGTCCCAAGCCAGCTCTTAACCAACGTGCCACTTGGTTGGCCCAAAATCTTTAAAAAAAAAAAAACACCATGAAAAGAGTGAAAAGTGAAGGTATGGAGTGCGAGAAAATACAATATATAAAACTAACGAAGAACTCATATCCAAAATACATAAAGAACTGTTACTAATCAATATGAAAATGACAGACAACACAATTTAAAAATAAGCAAAAGATTTGAATAAGCACTTCACAAAAGAGGATATCCAAATGGCCAATAAACATGAAAAGGTGTTCAATTTCCCTGGTCATCAGGTAAATATAAGTAAAAAGCCCAATGACATCTGGCTATACATCCACGAGAATGGATTAAAATGAAAAAGACTGACAATTCCAAATGTGACAAAAACATACAGCAATGAGAACTGTGACATTGCTGGTGGGAGTGTAATTTAGTACAACCATTTTGGACACTGGTGGAATTAACTAAGATTCAACATATGCATACTCTATTAATCAGCAATTCTACTCCTAAGTTTACATCCAATAGAAATTCATACATACATACAGCAAAACAAGTGTGAGAATGTTCTTATAGAGGATTATTTTGTAATAGCCCAATACTGATAACACACATATCTATTAACGGTAGGAAAGAGAAATAGATTATGACATATTAATACAATAAAATATCATGTGAGAACGTAAATGAACAAAGTATTGCTGCATGCAATAATAGGAAAGAATGCCACAAATCTAATGAAAGAAGATAAAAATAATACAAACTATATGATTTCATCATTTACATGAAATTCAAAACCAAACAAAACTAATCTAAAGTGTTAGAAGTTAGAATAGAAGAAGTTATATCTTTGTGGAGTACAAGAGAGGGTTCTAGTAATTTTCCATTTCTTGACCTGGGAGGTGATTATAACAACACTGTGCTTACTTTGTGATGACTCACTCTATATACCTCTGATCTTCTATATGTATATTACACTTCAACATAAAACTCTGTTTAAAAAAACTGTTTAAACCTCTTATCTCCATTGGAATCAGGAAGTCTGCCAGTCACAGAATAATAAGTATGCTGTGGCATGTAATGTTTACACCATGCCCCAAACCACGCAAGCTCATATTTCGGAAATATACTGAAATCGCGTTAAGTGGTTTATCCTGACACTTCAGTTCTTGATGATCGAATTTCTCTTGCTCTCCAATAGCAGCAAAAGACTCAGAGCAGGTGCTGAATGAATGCTTGAAGGGTTGCTCCCTCCCACTAGTTTCAGAACTCAAGGCCAAGTAGATAAATAGCAGTTGACGCTACTACTTACTTCTTCCTTTCCAAGGCTGAACACTCCTCATCACACTCCAGCCTGGAGAAGCAAATGGAAAAAAAAAAGTCAGGGCACAGGTTTCACAGTTCCTATACAGCAAAAGTTCTTAGATAGTTAACCTGGAAACAGAGCAGACTCTGGCTAAAGGATGGCTAGATGAGGTCTCTCTCAAGGACAGGTGTGCAGGCCACTCGTTTATAGGAGTCTAGGAATCCTCAGAAAGGCCTCCGAGTGTCCCCTGCCTGCTCAGCCCCCAAAATGCTCCCTGTACCTCTCTGACAGTCTACCTCCCCCTCTAATATAGCCACCACTCTGGTTCTCTGTTCTATGTGTTGCGCTGGACACATCTAGACCTCTGCTTCCTCTGGTTACTGGTTGGAGTGAGGCCTGGAAAAGTCTCCTTTGGTCTTAGCTATACCCTGAGTAGGATTCACTGGATTGGACTGGGTGTGGCTCTTAACATCAAATGTCTGTTGAATATCTACTGTGTGTGCAAAGCTATACTGTGGGGGACTGAGATAAATAAATGGTCCCTACCCTCTGGAAATTAAGTCTAATAGGAGAAACAAGGTGTTTTAAAAATTAGCTGGGGAGCATTTGAGATCTTGCTTCCTCATAATTGTTATCAGTTTTGGCTCAAATAAACTAATAAAAATTCAAAAAATTGGGGCTGGCCGAGTGGCTCAGTTGGTTAAGAGCACAAGCTCTGAGCAACAGGGTCACCAGTTCAATTCCCACATGGGCCAGTGAGCTGCGCCCAAGCTGAGCTGCCGCTGAGCTGCCAACAGGTGGCAGGATGGCTCAGCTGGTTAGAGCACATGCTCCTAACAACAAAGTTGCCAGTTCGACTCCTGCATGGAATGGTGGGCCATGCCCACCCGCAACTAAGACTGAACATAGCACTTGAGCCGAGGGGCTGCGAGCTGCCGTGGGGCAACTGGATGATGGCAACTGGACTTGGAGCTGAGCTAGCTGCGCCCTCCACAACTAAGATTGAAGGACAACAACTTGGCTGTTCCCCTTCCCCAATTCCCCAACACTGTTCCCCTCCCCCAATTCCCCAATAAAATCTTTAAAAAAAGATAAATAAAAATAAATAAATAAATAAATAAATAAATAAATAAAAGTTACCTGACTTGGTGAATTTCTTTCTTAGTAATCAACTTGCTGATCTCCACTGAATCTCCAAGCTGCATGTCTGTTACTTTAGAGGCCATGGAAATAGCAGCTATTCTGAAGTATAAAAAAGAAAGGGAAGAAAAGGCATTACAGTTTCACAAGCATCTCTTCATACCAGGCACATAAGACTTCTTTCAAAAAAATCTACCAATTTGTGCAGCCTCGGAAGTCCACCTATTATAAACTACCCAATGCTTATGTCCTATTTCCTCAATTAGATTCTAAGCAGCCAGCTCCACAGGACAATGACATAATTCATTTCTCAGGACCCCCTTGAACATCCAGGCCAATGCCTGGCACACAGCCACGCTGATGTCTGCGTACTCCTAAAGTCCTGTTTCTATGGCACATCTGTGGATCTAATCAGCTATACACAACCATCCATCCTTAACACCTCCACCTCTGTTACTCAGGGTCCTGTATTAACACACAGATCCCAAGGTTTCACGAGGATGCAAAGACATCGCACAGAGCAGTCAGAAACCCCCACTCCAGGGTAGGAGCACAGGACTAGGTCCTGGCTGTGCCACCACAAGTGGTGGGACATTAAAGCTATTCACACAACTTCAGGACATCTTCCCTTCCGATCTCATGGTGTAATAGGACCAAAAGGGAGAGAGAGGAAGGAGGAGGAGAGGAAATTAAAAGGTTATTTTACAAATTAAAGTTGGGAAGGAAAGGTACATAAAGCAGTACCTTTTGTTTGAACCAGTAAAACTAAATTCAAGAAAATTTTTAAAACTTTCCAAATTTTACAGATCCTACAATAAATACACGTATACCCTTTACCCAGGCCCACCAATTGTTAACATTTAAGTAGCATTAACCTTTGATAAGTACTGGATGCTTCAGAGCAAACCACGATGTCTTTTCTTCGTCCACACTCACACTGCAGCTCGATCTGAAATGTGGTTAACATGGAGCAACTTTTAGCACATGGAAACCATGTGAATAGGCAGGTTTCACTTATAAAGTCTCTCAAATCAAACCATGGCAGAGAATAGATAGCGAGTGGCTCCGCTCCAGGATGGAAGAAGCTAACGGTACTTGCAAACTGACAATACAGTAGCTGACATGCTAGGAGGGAAATGCCCAGTCTACAGTGCCCGTTCCTGGGAACTTACTCCTGTCCTTAATCTGGCCTAAAGGGACAGGCCTAGAATGCAGTTGTTACCACTGAACCAGAGGTAGACATTTGACCCAGGACCAGACAAGGCCTACCCAACTCCACTTCATCTTGCTGTTTGCTCCTCTTCAGGGCGGCCTTGCTTAATTCCTCAGACCACGTCAGTCCCCCTCTCATATCCTCTCATAGCTCCCTCTATAAGGGTGTAGCTACTCCTTCATGACACTTACCACAGTCATAATTAATTATCTGAGTAATTAACTGAGTTATCTGTCCCATCTAACTGAAGGGACCATATGTCTCCTATTCATTGGTGTAGCCCCACCCAGCACAACGTCTTGCACAAAACAGACCCTTGTATATTTAAAAGGCCATCTCAAGCTGGGCAGACAGAAATCTATACGATTTATTCCACCTTTCTCTTGTTAACTTGCAGTTTCTTGTAACCAATGAAACTTGCAGTTTCTTGTAACCAATGACCGCTGACTAGAATGCATGCCCAGGACTCATTAGCAGCCCCAGAACCGAGTCAATGCCCTTCCCGGAGCCAGCGATACCCACCTTGGCTTTGCAAGCAGTCACAGGGCAGGGTGAACTGAGGTGGCAGGGCGCCATACATGGGTGGCCACAGTCAGCTCTGGGGGTGATGCAGGGCTGTTTGCAGGACTCATCCACAAGACACTCTCCTTTGTGGCAGAGTCTCTGGCACTTATGCATCCCACATGGTAGCGCGGCATTGCAGGGTAATCCGCAAGAGATATCAACCAGGTGACACGGGATGTTGCTTCGTAACTAGGAGAGAGAGAGTAGCCAGATCCTCATTTCCGTGTGGGATTTTGGGTGAGTTTTAACTTCCTATCTAAACATTCCTGAACTTTCAAAATGAGCATTTTTTTAAATTACTTTTTATCTGAAAAAAAATTAGGCTGTATTTCAAAGTCTGAAAGGCTAGTTTGAAAAGAAAACAAATCTGATCTTTATTTAATAATGCTTGTTAGGATCCTCAAGGACTTGTGGTAGCAGCCAAGTGTGACTTGGGACCTAAATTTTCCAAGGTAGGTAACAAGCATGTGAAACCACGTAACTAGGGAGTATTTGAAAATGTTATGACCAATTGTGAGGATCAGACGATCTTTTCCCTCCTCTGCAGACAGCCAGGGCACTGAGTTGACCGACAAACTCTGAGAGTGGGGGCACTGGTGGCCCATGGCAGGGCTGTTTTATGAAGTTACATACTCAACTCTTCTCATATCTCCTAACTCATGGTCTCCACAGCTTGAGGCAGCTCTGTCATTTAAAAAAACTAAGAGGCAATGGGTCATGGAACCCCCCGCTCATTTTCTCTTGAGAAATTGCCTCCTTTTAGAATTCCTCACTCCAGGAAAAAGATGCTGGAATTTTATTTCTGTGTAACCAAAGGTTACTCTTATTTAATCATTCAAATTCTTTCAGAACCCTCAAAATAAGGAATATCCTTTGGCTCTAGTGACACACAACTTCCACTTTTAAAGAGGCCTCCAACGTTTAGGATATACATGCTTCTAATGCTTTAGAATCAGCATTTTGGTAGACTGTAGTTCCCAATCATTAAACACTTACCTACTCTATTACCAGGGCGCTGGGGATAAATTTGCCCATGCTACGCCCTCCACATGAACTTGTCTATCTTCTCATTAATCTTTAGGATGTTACTTCCTCTAGAAACGCCTTCCTTGGGTAGAAGTCCCTCTGTCCCCTTCAGTACTTTGTACTTAGACTTCACAGGGCAGGGGCCACAACTGTCTTGTTCACTTCTGATCACCTGAACCTAGTCTTTGCCTAGCACACAGTAAGCACACAATAAATATTTGTTGAATGAAGTCTGAGTAACACTAAGATGAATCAAGGATGTCTTAGAGCGGTTACTCTCAGAGGAAGTGAGATTTACAAAAGAATAAAAAATACTAAGGACTACGACTTGAGAACCATTCACAGGAAATAAGTGGAGAAAAATATGTCCATCAAGATAAGAATACTGAAAGTATGTTGTCATAAATATCGAGAGTTTCAAGAAATGTTGGCCAATGTGTTATGAAGTAAAAAGAGCAGGTTACAAAATAGTGTAACTTTAATAGAGTAAGGGAAAGTGTGTATCACACATGAGTGGCGTTCTGTACACCTGAATGTTAAGAGTATTTCCTTCTGGTAGCAGAACTGAATTTTCTTAATTGTCTACAATAAATATGCATTTCAAAAAATAAACATTTTTAAAAGTGTTTTAAAGAGTCTATAGTCAACAGTGCCAAATACAGCTTAGAGGCTAAAAATGGGGAACGTCTTTCATGGTAGTGGCAATGAAGAGGTACAAGTGAGCGCAGAGGAGGGCATTTGCCAACAGTCATAATAGGAAGCTGCGTGGGGTGTAGAGAAGGAACAGTAGCAGCTGGTGGAGAGCATACCTTCACTTCTGGATACTCCCACTGTCACACCTTTTCCCAGGCTAGCAACTTCTCCCCATGCTGGTTAACCCAGAAGTTGTCTCAGAAAACAGCCCATGTTCTCAAGGCCAACTGGCTAAATTTCACTTATTGTAACCAGATTAAAAATGATAGGAGGGTAGACTGAAAATGTAAGACTACTGTAAGACTCCATTTATGTGACATTCTGGAAAAGGCAAAACTACTGGGACAGACAACAGGTGATTGGTTGCCAGAGCCTGGAGGTGGGGGAAGAATAACTACAGAAAGACACAAAGGAATGGTTTTTTGGTACAAATGAACGGTTCTACATCTTGATTGTGGTGGTGGTTATATGACTGAATAAATACTTTGGTCAAAACTCACAGACCTGGGATCAAATATATGATGATGGAAGGAAAACTGACTGGGTGGTGAACACACAATGTGATATATAGATGACGTATTACAGAACTGTACACCTGAAACCTATGTAACTTTACTAACAATTGTCACCCCAATAAACTTTAATTAAAAACAACAACAACAACATGGTTCGTTCCCGGGTTTCGGCACCAAAAAAACAAACAAAAAAATCCACCAAAAAAACAAAACAAACAAACAAACAAACAAAAAACAACAAAAACCCCACAGACCTGTACACTAAAAAGGGTAAATCTTATTTTATGTAAACTATACTTAATTTACAAAAAAGAAAAGAGTGTCAATAGCGAACCTCTGCTTCTTGGAATATTAACTTTGAGAAACAATGAGACATTATAACAAGTAATCCAGTCATAAATCTCTGGCTGGAACAATGAACACAAGAGAGAAAACTTACCTCATGTTTACCCATGCACCATTTCTGAGTTAGGAAAGTGCAAGGGGGACACTTCTCTTCGCTATGACAAGAATGATATACTGCAGAAATAGAAAGGTAAAATTAGGAATAATATTTAAATGAAGCTGCACAAACTACTATACATGTTATAATGGTTTGTGACATGGAATTTATAAACTTAGGAATACTTTAAAAAATTGTCATAGGAAAGTAAACAGTGGATGGCTTTATATTCAAGTGCTGAAGGACGAGCATGAGTGAGGAAAGGAACCCTACTGAGGGGGACAGACATGCCAAACACAGAAGCAGAGAGCGAAGCAGCTTTCCCGCCTCATCTCCTGTGGTACAGCCCCACGGTCTGTCCGTTCTACTCAGTCATCCTTTTGGCCTACCTTACACAGCAACTGCTCACTTCTGCTCAGACATCTTTGTTATTCACCCATTTAATATGTTCCCACCAACTCAATTTCCTTGCTGCCTGTAAGAGGCAGTTCATCTAAACTCATCTCCTACAACAAAGTCTTCCTTGGCTGACCACACCTTGCCCTGAGTGCTCTTAAACTCACTGATGTCTTAGTTCTTACACGCAGGTGGCTTGCTGCCATGTTATCTGGCCCATCTTCATGTAATGGTTGGTTATGTCCTGCGCATTTAACTACCATCCTCTTCCTCTCATGGAGGACATAAGAACCTCAAGGTCATGGGCTACTTTTTCTTCCTCTAAATCTCCCTCTGTGTCTGACACCATGCTGGCTATAAAACAAACACTCAAGGAAAGTTAAATGAATGCTGAACAAAAGCAGGCTAAAACAATACAAGTAGGTTAAACTCCTACTATGGACATTAACCAGCAGCACTTGAACTTCCTCTGTAACATCTGCAAGTGAGTGTACAGGAGGGACTGGGGGAGTACTGGCTTGGGCATTGACTTCACACTGGGGTGAACACCACTGCAGGGGCTTGAAAACTCAGCTGGGAGAGCCATTCCTAAGGGTCCCACGGAAGGAAGAAACTTCTCACTTCATGAAGAATTTACTTAATGCTGTTTTACTCTATTAACTTGAAAAATTGAGAGCTGGTTACCTATTTGTCAGCCTGACTCATATGGCCAGACTTACTGAAAGTGTCAAATCTGGTGATTAAAATAATTTCAGGCTTGCCTCTGAGGCTTGGTAAAATGAAATGATGGGCCTGATATGGTCCTAGAGGAAAGCCAGTGACTTGATTGGACAGGTATGAAAAATGGGTGATGACAAGTAGCTTCTGGCCTACTGTCTGCAGCAGACTATCAGAGAAAAACTGGAAACTTTCATGTCCTACAACATAGGACTAAGTTGCGGTCCATCTATGTAAAAGAGCACCCCACCCCATTGCCACTAAAAATATATATTGTAAAAAAATATTCATTGGGGTGACTGGTTAGCTCAGTTGGTTAGAGTGTGGTGCTGATAACACCAAGGTTGCCAGTTCGATCCCCGCATGGGCCACTGTGAGCTGCGCCCTCCTTAAAAGAGTCAACTATGCCATTGTAGCATGAAAGCAATGTGTAACCAATGACCATGGCTGTACCCTCCAAAAAAAAAAAAAGTATATATATCTATACACACACACACACACACACACACACACACACACACGTGTGTGTGTGTATATATATTCCTTGATAGGGAGAGAGGTTAAAATTACAATAATAAGAGAGAAAAGTGGTAGTTAAAATGAGTAAGTTCAGTAGGACCCCACTTTTATTTTAGGAGGAAAAAAAAAAGCAAATATATATTTTGTTCATGAAAAAAGGCCCTCCCAAAATATACATTAAGGTTAATTCCTAGAAGATGACATAAAAGATGATTTAATTTCAGTCTTTTAACTTTATCTATATTGCTTCTATAACAACAACAAAAACCCAAGTTTCTTTGAATTTTGTAAACATATGCTCAACTTTGAAATATGCACCAAAAGTGGAGGCCACAAAGAAAGAAGAAAAGTCTCCGAAAGACAAGACTAGCCAGGGCTCTGAACTTTCAGGTGTGTCTGACATCAACAGAGGAAAGCAATGGAGGGTACTGTGATTCCCAGCTGTGGCCCCAATCACAGACCCACTTTCAAAGAGGCTGCCCCTGGGCACAGGGAACAAGGGGTGCCATCACAGTGCAGTGAAGATCCTCATGCAACAACCTACATGACATGGTGTGAGCAGGCAACGAAGTGGGGAGGCTAGGAGATGGAACCCACCTGGGTGATCACACTCATGGATTCTGGCGCAGGTCTGGGTACACTCAGGGGGCCTGGTACCACAGGGAACTGGAGGGTAGATCACTGATGCACCGCAGTGGCAGGTTAATTCGTCAAAACCTGAAACAGCAATGGGTGAAACAAAACAACCCTCATGAGTTTGGGATGACCACACACATACACACTTTTTTTGGGGCTTGTATTTCTAGAGGTTAATGGAGGGGAGGTTGCTTTTTTTAAAAAAAGATTTTTATTTTATGAAAGCTGAGCTGGTAAAAAAGGAGCAGACAGGTATGAAGTGTTTCATATTCAAATGAATATTTTTGTATGTTTGTTAATTATCTGTAGCTTTCATAATCTCTATCCATTTTCTTAACCAAAAAACCTACAAAAAAGCTTTATCTTTAGTGGAAGTCTCCTGTTCTCTCAAAAAGAAGTGGTCTGTAGATCTGCTGTGTAAAATATACATACAAAACTGTCTTGGGTTCATGGACTTAAGCGTTCATTGCAAGAAAAAAATGAAACACTTCATACCTGTATTTACCACTAAGAGCTTTACCAACTTTCTCCTACTTTTCCTAAGACTTCTCTTTTCTTTTTTTTTTTTAAAGATTTTATTCGGGAATTGGGGGAGGGAATAGTGTTGGGGAATAGGGGAAGGGGAACAGGCAAGTTGCTGTCCTTTTGTTCTTCAGTCTAGTTGTTGAGGATGTTGCTTCACTGGCCCATGTTGGTATTGTGATCACGACGGCAACTCACGGCAACCCAGCTCCAGATAGAGCTGTTGTTCACCATCTTAGCTGTAGAAGGCAAAGCGTCACTGGCCCATGTGGGATCTGAACTGGTGGCCCTGCTGCTCAGAGCTCGCACTCCCAAGACAACTCTTAACCAACGAGCCACTCGACCGGCCCTTCCTAAGACTTTTCTTATGAGATCAGAAGTTATATTAACGAATGAGTTTTTAGTAGCGTAAAACAAAATTTGTCAATACATCAAATACCTATGTAACCCAGTGGATAATTATTTTCTAAATGATCAATGTATGATGTTATAAAATCATGCACGGGTAAAAGATCCATTCAAAATACTAGAAAAAACAATGAATTTTAAGGTGACAGAGAACAAAAACAAAAGCACTGACTTAAGTGTTTCGGAAATGAGGCTGAGTTTTGGTGTAATATGAAATACCCACAATTATTTGAAAAAGTTTTAAAAATACTCATTCCTTTTCCAACTTGCTGTGTTAGGCTGGATTTTTTTTCAAAAGCCTCAACTATACTGCAACAGATTGATGCAAAGGCAGATATGAGAATCCAGCTATCTTCTATTATATCAGGCATCTACTCTTCTCACTAATTTTTTTAAAATATATTTTTCTAAAACAAAATTTTTATATTATTTATGTTAACATGCAATGGATATATTGTTTTTAAAAAGTGAACTAATAAATCAATATTTTAAAAATTTCTCAGTTTTAATTCCTCATATAACAAATATAAATAGCTATAACTCACATAAAAAGAGTTCTTTGGGATCCTCAATAATTTTTTAAGAATGAAAATAAGTCCTAAGACCAAAAAGTGCAAACTGCTGCTAATAATATAGAGAAAGAAGACTTCCTAAGGACAGGACCTGGCTCAATAATAGTTAAGAGGCATCTATTAATGAACCAGACTCCATCTTAGGATCGTTGCCTACACCCCAAGTTTCATACATTCAGGGACAACCATACAGCACTAGGAATAATTTTAAAAAATAAAACAAAAAAACAAAACAATTCAACACACCTGAATACTAAATTTTATTAGTTTAGTAATCCATACCAATCTAAGCATATCAATCTCTCTAAATATATTATGCCTGAATTTCTAGAAAATTCTAGAATGAAGTATACAGTGAAGACACTCACTGGCTTGCCAGCATGTCTGGCAGTTCCCACGATGACAAGGTTCTTCACATCTATGAAGGCCGCAACGGAGTTTCCTTCCACAAATCAAAGGACACTTGTGCTCCTTATCCTAGGAAAAGAGATTTATATTTGTTTACAAAATTTCCTCTATTTTATGTTTTCCATAAACAACAAGATTTATAAAAAAAAAGCTCTCCACATTTATGGTTGAAATGACGTCTGAGATTAGCTCCAAAATAATCAGGAGACAGAGTTAGTGGGGATGGATGAAACAAGATTAGTCATGAGCTGATTACCACCTAAAGCCGGATACTGGATATATGGGACTCATATCAGTCTCTCTGCTTTTATTATGTTTGAAATTTTCAATGATAAGAGGAAGTCTTTAAGCCTTCAAACACTGGTTTATAAATAAGTCTTGATATACTGTAATAGTTTCATCTCTCTTTACTTTGTTAATATATACTTTTTTTTTTTTAAAGATTTTTATTGGGGTATTGGGGGGAAGGGAACAGTGCTGGGGAATTGGGGAAGGGGAACAGACAAGTTGCTGTTGTTTCGTTCTTCAGTCTAGTTGTGGAGGATGTTGCTTCACTGGCCCAAGTTGGCACCATCATTGCACTCTTC